GGCGCGAGGGCGCACGAGGGCGCACGGTAGGTAGGTAGGTAGGTAGCGGTGGGCCCTAAAACGGTACTAGTGAAGGACCTGCTCTGATATCTTGTCAGAATGAACGGACAGGAATGATTGAACTAACAGTGAAATCAGTACAAGTACCTAACCCTAGAATTGTGTACCCCCTATAGGCTAACCCACTGTAGCCTAAACAAACACAACATATATAATGTTTGACAGATCACGGCGTGGTCCATTGCTTCGGGCCACTGGTGGTTGGGCAGGTGCATGCCACGTAGCAGCTTGCGCATAGTATTCTGGAGGGTCCTGTTCATCCTTTCTGTTACACCTTGCTGTTGATGGCGTAGGGAAGGGAGCCGCTTGATTCCTCTTTCTGCCAAGTACTGCTTGAACCTCTGTGAGGTGTATTCCCCTCCCCCGTCTGACTGGAAGCTTTTGAGTTTCACACCCGATTCTCTTTCCGTTACAGGGAGCCAGGAGACGAACGCTTCGAAGGCCATGTCCTTGCTTGTTAGGTTAAGGTGCCAAACATAACGTGTCGCGGCGTCGATGAACGTGATAGTGTAGTTGTACGAGTTCTGTCCAGGCTCGCGGTTGTACAGGATGTCGCTGTATACCTTCTCAAGTGGTGTGTATGCAGGTGCGCTTGGATTGTGATGCGAGACGAACGGCTGATGCGGTAAGTCAGCTTCAGGGCAGGTGAAGCACGTTCCACGGACTCGTTGGAGTTCTCTGCCGTCGTGAAGTAGAAGGGAGTCTTTGTCGAGTACGCCTGCTCTTATCGTGTTGTTTAACACTGTGTTGCTCGGGTGTCCAAGTCTTGCGTGCCAGGTTTCTTCCCTGGCGTGGTGTCCGGGTGAGCGACGGTACATATCAGAGTTGGAGTAGAAGCTGGCGGTGAAGTTAGCGCTTCGATGAACTTCTCGTGGTGCCGGTTTGAGCTGATGTGCGGGTGTCGGTGGCGTGTCGTCGATGAAGAGTGGTGCCGTTGAAGGACCAGCGACTGGTGTTGACGTTTCTGCTGCTACCGTTGTTGTCTCTGCTGCTGTCGTTGTTGCCGGTGTTGTCTCTGCTGCTGCCGATGTTGTCTCTGCTGCTGCCGGTGTTGTTTCTGCTGCTGCTGATGTTGTCTCTGCTGCTGCCGATGTTGTTTCTGCTGCTGCCAAATGTTGAATCGTCGCTAACGCTCTTGTTCTTTCTGCCTCTGGAATGGTGTGTGAATACCAGAAGCCGCCGGGGCTGAAGTCTGGATCAAGATCTGGAGGGTGGGTCCAGGAGGTGAAGGTGACGATCCGTCTGCCGTGCCGAGATCTGGGACGAAATCAAGGACGAAGACATTATTCTTCAGGATTGCCTTTCCGATGTAGAGGCCGCCCTTCCCGTGGTACAGCTTGAACTCTTGAGTGGTACTATCTGCTTCGAGGTGGATGCCATCAGTTGGCTAACACTGAGTAAGTTGTAGCCAAGGCCTTCTACGATTAAGACCTTCGACATCTGTAGTATCACATTTTTTTCCCGTGATTGAAGTTGTACTACGCCTTGTCGTCGTGTGCGCAGGTTCTGGTTGTTGGCGACGGTGATGACTACTTCGCGTTGGAGTTGGTACTCTCGCTGCACGAAGCGTCCTGAAGAACACATGTGCTGTCCGCAGCAAATGTCCAGGAACCATGTGTCCTTCCCGGATGGCTCGCTTTGAGCGATGGCTGCGTACGTCAGGTTCGGTTGAAGTGATTCGCGGCGGGGCGTACTGTTGTCGAGCTGTTCTTCCGGTGAGCAGTGTGGCGGTGATTCAGTGACGCAGGAGTCGGTCAGTCTTGCCATGCAACTGACGATGTTTCTTGCTCCCTGTACAGGTTGTCCCGTTGAAGCTTGAACCTGAGTGGTGGGGTTTGCTTGTGTTGAAGCGACTTGGCTGCTTGAAGGTCGAAGCTGCCGTTGTGGAGTCGTTGACTGTTGTCGATTCGGGCAGTGCGTGCGCGGGTGCCCTGACGTCTTGCAGATATGGCAGAACGGAGGTACTGGTTTCGGTTGTTGTCGGTTGTTGTTGTTGTTGTAGCGTCACTGAGTGTGAAAAGTGAATTCCGGTGCTGATGTCTTCCTCTTGTGTCTTTCTTCTTGCAGGTCCATGTCTTGCAGCTCGCGACATCGGCTGATATACGCCATTCCCTTCTCGCCTGGTTTCATTTCGACAGTTGTCAGTTGCGCCATTAACCGACTTTGATTTACGCTGTCTGTTGCTTGATACAGGCTCTTCAAGTGGCTGTATGCGAGCTCGGCGGAGTTGCCGTATCCCCGGTAAGACCGTATATTCTGCTGCTGAGTCGGTGTGATGTTTCTCAGTAGGATTGTGTACGCCATCATTGACTGATAGGTGTACTGCTGCTTCTCGTACTGTGTGCCGTTTGTTGGGTATGGCAGGGACCCGTCGAAGAAGCCGAGGATTTGCGCGCCTTCCATCATCAACTCGAATTCAAACGACCAAGTGAAGAAATCCTTTCCATCGAAAGGCCTTGATGTCTGCAGTTTTAAGACCTGCGCGAACTGCGACTGAACTTGTAATGCGTCCAGCGGCTGTTCTTGTCCAGGTGAAGGCTGCGGGTGCGGCATGAAGCTGATGGAGCAAAGGTAGGCTGCTGTTGTTGATTTCCGCGTGCGTACGATGAGCCATCAAGACTCATAGGAGTGACTTCATTGTTGTTGCTGTTGTGTGAATGCGCAGGTGCTGATTTCTGGTGTTGCTCGTAGAAGGACATGAAGGAGAAGAACTTCTCCATCATGCTCTGGTCGAAGCTGGCAAGTTGACTTGCGGGAGTCTCGGTAGATGTTGCCCTTGGTCTAACTGCCGTGCCCTCCTCTGTCTGTAGGCCAGAGGCAGGAGGTGGAGTAGGAGTAGTGCCCTGGGAGCCGTTAGAGGAGCTCCTTTCCTTTTGTGTTGCCATGCCTTGTGATGACTTGATGGTAGTTGAGTTCCCCTTGTGAGCTCTCATACCATGTTGGGCTGAGAAAAAGCCCTTAGGATCTTTGCAAGGGTAAACTCTGGGTAGGAACAATGTAATAGCGGAAGCGTTTAATGAAGAGGTTGAACCACCTTGCGCTAGTAAGTCTGGGCAAAGTAGATTGATTAAAGCAAAGAGATACAAGATTATATAAGATTACAAGGAATATGCTGTTGCTGTTGCGGTTCGATACAGTGTCGACTCGGGCAACTGCTCTGTAGCGAGTCAGTTGTGTGTCCTTGCTGTCGCGCTGTACTTGTCAGGTCAAAGGTCGCTGACCTTTGACTTTCGCGTAACCTCCAACAACTGCTTCAATCTCCGAGGGTTGACTCGCTGGTGCTTCGATATACTTCGCTTCGATTGTGGTTTGGTGTTTCGACACGACAGAGGCGCTTAAGATTGATTGTTTCCAACACCATCAACCCAGCTCACACTCATCCACCAACCTCTCTGCCATCAACCCAGCTCACACTCATCCACCCACCTCCCTGCCATCAACCCAGCTCACACTCATCCACCCACCTCCCTGCCATCAACCCAGCTCACACTCATCCACCCACCTCCCTGTCATCAACCCAGCTCACACTCATCCACCCACCTCCCTGCCATCAACCCAGCTCACACTCATCCACCCACCTCCCTGCCATCAACCCATACTTCCACCACTGCCGCCGTCATGCAGATCTCGTTGACAATGACCCACCATCTGGTGCACCCTTTCTGATTCTATGGCGTGCCTGTCATCCAAGTTTTCCACATTAATCCGGGCCCAAGGCAAGTGATGCTTATGCAGGTTCCTTGTTATGCTTTACGTTACTGGTCAGTGCTTCCTGGAAACAAGTCATTCTAGCGCCGCAGTTTAACTTAGGTGTGCATCACAACACAAGGATCAAATCAATCTTTAACTAGATTAAAGCTTTTGTAACCTATCCGCTGCAATAACTCTTGCACTTTATCCTCCAAGACATAAAATTCCATGTCCTTCCAATTCCCTCCTCTCACCTCCCCATCCCTGTCTTCCTCTTCCTCATCTCCGTCTGACTCCACCTCCATTCTACCATTCATTCCCTTCTCGTTCCTCCCATTTTGCCCCCTTCGTCCCCTCCCCTTCCCCATCCACGTTTCCTATTCGTCTTCTTCGTAGGAGTCACGCACTGCATGCTCTCCCTCGTCCTCGTATAGATTACCATCCCCTTCAGAAGCACATCCAGCTTGCCAAGCCCAAGCGTATGACTTTTAAACAGCTCCCTGTGTACGTGGAGACCTCCGAAACCGGCCCGCACGGGTTTGGCTCAGAAGCTTGGGTCGGATGACAGCTCATCAAGGGCCCCTGACAGCGCAGCGTTGAGAGATGCCAGCTCAGCACCAACTGATGCGTCGGAGAAGCCGGTGAAGTTGGCTGTTGACATGTCATCTTGGGAGAGGGGAGAGTGGAAGGCAGCAAGGAGGGGTTTGGGAGGGAGGGAGAGGGGTGGAGAGACCATGGCAGGCCTCAGCGGTGCAACCTTAGCATGACCACATGAGAGAAACAGAACCTTACCACCAACAAGCTCCACAGCAACATGATATGAATACGTACCACTCACGTTGACATGGCACGCTTTTTCATACAGCTCAATCTGCCAACACACTTACAAGTACAGATTGGGTTGACATGAAACACGATAACACCACAGACTGCATGCAATCGTATGAACCTCTCTCATCAAACCCTCACCCCCCCACGCCATCACCTATTTCCGCCTGTGAATCCTCCTCGTCTATCAAATTGCCATTCCTCTCTCACCTCTCCATCCTTGCCTTCCTCGTCCTCCTCATCTCCATCTCACTCAACCTCCTTCCGCTTTCCCCGCTCCCCTTCCCTTCGTTTCCCTACAATTTGCTCCCCTCCTCTTCGACCCACTCTCCTCCCTCCTTTTTGCTCTCTTCAGCTTCACTTCCATCATCCTCCTCTACTGCCCCCTCCCCCCCCCCCCGCACTTCCTGCACATTCTCTTCCTATGATTCCTCCTCCTCCTCCTCCTCCTCCTCCTCCTCCTCCTCCTCCTCCTCCTCCTCCTCCAAACCATCCCCTTCCTCTAAATCAAACCCTTCCTCCGAATCACCCCCTTCCTCCGAATCATCCCCTTCCTCCGAATCACCCCCTTCCTCCGAATCACCCCCTTCCTCCGAATCACCCCCTTCCTCCGAATCACCCCCTTCCTCCGACTCACCCCCTTCCTCCGAATCACCCCTTTCCTCCGAATCATCCCCTTCCTCCGACTCACCCCCTTCCTCCGAATCATTTCCATCTTCCGAATCCCCTTCCTCCGAGCCACCCACCACACGCTCTCCCTCGTCCAGGTTCGCTGCACCGTGAATCTCCACCCTCCCATTTACCGACAGCAGTGGGCATTCACTGACAGTGCATGCCAGCAGCTTCCCCATCTGCAGCAGGCGCGAGGGTAACCGAGCCAGCTGCTCGCACTGGAACAGGCCCAAGTCCTCCAGTCCGGGCAGCTGTGAAAAAGACTCGGGCAGCTGCGAAATTCCGACCTCTGACAAATAGCACGACTCCAGCCCGCAGAGATCAGGGAAGGACTTGGGAAGGCTGGTTAGGCCGGGGCAGTTGTGAATGTACAAAGATTGAAGTTTCTTCAGCTGCCCGATTGACTCAGGCAGAGCAGTCAAGCTGAAGAGACAGTAAAGTTTGAGGGATGTGAGTGCTGAAAGCTTCCCTATTGTCTCAGGCAGAACAGGAAGGGTTTCGGCATCGATCGCCAGTAACTGCAAGCGACAGAGGCGGGAGATGGAGTTTGGGAGGGAGTGGAGCCGATGCATTTGTAGGATTTCCAGGTTGGTTAACGACAGGAAGGAGCCCAACGATGAACCGAGCCGCTGCTATGGAAGCTTCTCGATCTTAAGGCTCTCAAGGGATGGCAGCAACACACCCGTGTCACTCTCCTCGAATTTCCCACAGCTGCCTGTGTCACTGCTGCTGCCCGTGTGACCGGTTAACTCGAGGCGGGTGATTCTCCCTGCAAGGTCATGCCCGGCAGCTCCCGTGTGTGCATCCCCCATGTGTCCATCCCCAAATAGTGACTGCAGCGCGCTGCAGGAACTCACTTCCAGAGATTTCAACCGCTGCAGCTGACAGAGCGAGCGAGGGAGTGACTTCGGATCGAGTAGTTGTGAGAGCTTGAGTGTTTCTAGCTGTGAGAGTACGACGGCTTATGCTTGTTATTCATGCTTGCTTTTATTTCCTTACGCTACTTCTAGCTTAGGATTAATTTCTGCATGCATGAATTGCTTGATTCCTAGGCTAGGTGCTTTCCTATTTTTTTATTATAGTTATAAGCACCGTGCTAGGTTACACCGAATTCGGAGCTATTCGGTCTCCACCGAACTGCTTTCTACCGAATTCGGGAAGGGTCTGTTCGGGACGCTTCGCGACCCGCAGAACCTTCTCGTAACACCTGGTTATTGGCCCTTGTGTCAAGCCTATATATAGCCTCGTGTTGTACCCAGGTGATCATTCAATTTACATTCTCATTTCTGAACTCGATCCTCGATCCTCACACTTGGTAATCAGAGCTCGTTTACACGCGAAGTTCTTTCGACCGCTAAAAACCAGTCTTCAAAAAACCGCGGGGGCGACGCACTCAAACATCGATTTCGGGTACGTAAAACCGGTTCCGTGTTTTTCCGCTCCTCCTCGATTCGGTTTTTCGGACGCGTAATGTCAGGCATGGAAGGCCAGGGCGACAACTACGCGACAACGAGCGACGTCGCAAGCCTTTGCACCGACATGGAGCAGACGCAGGCGACGCTTCGTCGACTCGAGGCTTTTCTGACAAGCCATCCGGCGCTCGCCACGACAGCAGCAGCGACTGCAACGACTGCAGCACCGACAACTCCAGCAGCAGTGGCGACACCGACATTTCACGGTCCGATGGCACCACTGACGCCGAACCTTGAACCGAGGCTCCCGGAAGCGTTCGATCCAAGCGCGAAGGGATCCGACGTCCGGCGTTTCGTGGCAATCCTCGAAATTTACTTCGAGGCCATTGGCTGTTCGACCCCGACACACGACACGAATCCGGCTCGCAGCGACACTGTTACGCGGACCAGCACTCGAGTGGATCTACAACACTGACGTGGCCCGCGGGGAGAAAACGTGGACGCAGTTTCGGGCAGAATTAATCGGGCGTTTCGAACCGATTAATACCACCTACATGGCGCGGCAACAAATTCATCGGCACAAGCAGTACAGTAGTGTAGCGCAGTACACGCAGCAGATGGAGCTCCTGTTCACCCGCATCCCCGACCTGACCGAAGGCGAAAAAATCCAGGCGTACACAGAAGGGTTAAAATTGGAGATTCAGGTGATCGCGGTGAATCACGACAGCTACAGGGACATCGTGCGTGCAGCCGAGCGTTACGACGCGCTGACCCGAGGTCAACCCGAAACACGACGTTTCGCGCCGAACCGTACATTCGGCACGGAGCGATCGGCACCCCCCACGTTCGCCGAACCGATGGATATCGACAAATTCGACGCGAAGCAGCAGCCGACCAAATGCGAATTTTGCGGCGCAGCAGGGCATCAGATTTTGTCGTGCTACAAAATGAAGAAAGTACGTGCGATCATGCAGGGCGGTAACAGTGCAGCACCCCCGAAGTAAAAAAACGGGAATCGCCAGTAGCCGCGGATCGAACTGGCGATCGCGTAAAGATCCGAAAAGCGAAAAAGGGCGACGACGTGGCGACTTCGGAGCGGGCGAAAAAAGGAGAAAATGATGGCGCGAATATAAAACGTCACGACCGGCCGGCATCAGGGGAAATCGCCGAGGCAACTGGTGGCTCCGCGAAAAAAGACTCTGCACCGACCGGGAAACTCCAGCCGGACCCCCACGAAAGTAAGAACCCGTTAAAAGTATCCTATAAAGATACTCTAACGAAAAATATTGCTTCTCGTGGTTTTCAAGCCTTTGAAAAATTCAGGGGAGAGTTAGAGGCCAAGAAAAAGCCTTTAGAAATTATTCAGGTACCTGCAAATATGGGCAAAGTATTACGGAGCGTAGAAAAGGGTCGTGCGTTCCGTGGTGTTAATATTCTCTCCCCGCAGCATAGTGTTAAGGCTCCCCGTTGCCCATAGGTGAAGCCTACACAGCTGCAAAGGCTTAGAGGAGACATCCAGGCTCAGGAGAAATTATACAAGCCTCGGAAAAATCCTCCTACCCCCCAGGTGAAGTTGGAAAGTGCTGAGTCGGGTATAGGAAGTAGGGAAGGTATTCATTTTGATGTACCCTATGATCCTATTAATGAGACCCTCTTTGGCTACTCAGCGCAGCAGAAACCACTACTCCTCGAGGTGTTATGCAATGGGCGACGCCTCCAGGCACTGGTGGACAGCGGTGCATCTCACTCAGTATGTGACCGCGGAGCATTGGAGAAAATCGGAGAGAAGGCGGAGGAGACCCAGTTTTCAGCAACCATGGTGGACGGTACGAAGCTTCCCATCCACGGCGAAGCAACCTTGCAGCTGCATATAGGTGCGTTGAGATGGAAGCCGAAGCTACCTGTTACCAACATCAAAGGGTTAGATTTCATCTTGGGGCGAGATTTCCTGAAGCGGTTCAACCCCGAGATCGACTGGGTCAACAGCAAAGTATGCATCTAAAGCAACGGGAAGCGGATAGCACTGCGAAGCTGGACGGATACAGGGGACATACCGGAAACGACACTGGCACGGTTCGAACAGACGGTGAACGAGAGTAACACGGGTTACTTAGCACTGGTCATGGCAGCAGCAGAAGAGGTGAAAAAGGGTTCCGAGCTACCCGCAGCAGTGAAAAAGGTCTTGGAGCAGTACAAAGACATCATGCCCGATGACCTACCTGCAGGCATACCTCCTGCGCACACCCACGAGCACGAGATTGTGGAGGAACCAGGTGCGAAACCCGTCTCACGTGCACCTTACAGACTGAGTCCGACCGAACTGACAGACATGAAGAAACAGATCGAGTATCTACTAGACAGACAACTGATCCGACCATCCACCTCTCCCTACGGCGCACCAGTTCTCTTCACACCGAAACCAGACGGCAGTTTACGGATGTGCATCGACTACCGCGCACTGAACAAACAGACAGTCAAAAACAAATACCCCATACCGCGCATCGACGACTTACTGGACCAACTGCGTGGTGCAACAGTCTTCTCGAAGCTGGACTTACGGTCGGGTTACTGGCAGATCAAAATGGCGGACAACTCAATCCACAAGACGGCGTTCTGTACGAGATACGGCTCCTACGAATACTTAGTGATGCCGTTCGGACTCTGCAACGCACCAGCGACGTTCCAGGCGGAGATGAACCACATCCTACGACCCCTGCTGGACGAGTGCGTAGTAGTGTACCTGGACGACATTCTCATCTACTCCAAGAACATGAAGGAGCACGTAGAGCATCTGCGGAAAGTGTTCGAGATCCTGCGGAAGAATAAGTTCTACGTGAAGCTGTCGAAGAGCGACTTCGCACTAGAGAAGGTGCAGTTTCTCGGGCACATGGTGAGTGCCGAAGGCGTACACGTAGACCCGCGGAAAATCGAAGCCGTCAAGAAGTGGAAAGTTCCAGAGAACGTGAAGGAGTTGCAGCAGTTCCTCGGCTTCGCCAACTACTACAACAGGTTTGTGCCACAGTACGCTAAGATAGCAGCGCCACTGACAGACCTACTAAAAAAGGGCACGCCCTTCAAATGGGATACCCCTCATCAGCAAGCCATGGAACAGCTACAAACAGCACTGACCACAGCGCCAGTACTCATCCTACCGGACCCCGAGAAGGACTACGTAGTTGAAGCAGACGCTAGTGACCAGGCAGTCGGAGCAGTACTGATGCAGGATCACGGGAACAGTTTATAGACTATCGCCTACCTCAGTAAGAAACTGCACGGAGCAGAACTGAACTACCCCATACACGACAAGGAAGCCTTAGCCATAGTCGTAGCCTTCAAGGCGTGGAGGTGTTACCTAGAGGAAGCCAAGACCACAGTCTATACCGACCACTGCAGTCTCAAATACCTGAAGTCGCAGCCGACGCTTTCACGACGACAGGTGCGGTGGGTGGACTTCTTGGAGACCCACTTCCATTACGACATCGTCTACAAACCCGGGCTCCACAACAAAGCAGACGCGTTGAGCCGCCCAGGGCACGTAGCTGTTGGTGCAACCCTACGGTTTGCACTCGGCTTGTTGTCCGTGTGCGTGTGCGTGCATGCGTGTGTGCATGGAGTGGTATGAGTGCATGAAATAAATATATATTTCATGCTTATAATAGTGTGTGAATGATGGGTCATGATGTCGAGTGTGTGTGTCAAGTCTATAGCGAGTCATCGCTATCCGCGTGTAACGCGGTCATTTTGTGTGTCCCGCGCGATTTCTATTTTGTCGTGCGCGGTTTCTATTTTGTCCTGTGTCGAACGTTCAGCGTGTCGCAAGTGTGTGCAGCAGACCCATCAAGAACTCGAGGATGAGTTTTGTGATGAAGAACCCGAGCCTTGGTTCAAGCTTCAAGTGATTTCGAAGCTGGCCAAAAGGGTACACCTCAAGATATTGAAGATAGTTACATTACAATGTGTAGTGTAACATTTCTATGGGTGTAGGCCCTTGTGGAGGGTAGTTTCGAGACCCTTCTTGGTTGGGGACAGTGTGGCACTGTTCCCCATCACTGTAGCTCGGTTCTTGGGGTTTGTAGGAGCTGGGAGTCCTTCCCAACTCGTAACTCTTCCCAGCTGTTCGTAACTTTGTGTTCTAAGACTATGTTGCTGCTATAGTGCCG